AAATATATCTGTGCTAAACTTGTAGCCAGCCTCCAACACACACACTGGCGAGTAAAATTTGAGAATTTATTAGCAATTGGCTAATATTAGACATCATTTAGTCGCCAGAGTGAAGATTTAGTCGCATATGCGAGTGATTTACTCGCAATGTAGAGGGTTGGTGTGTGTGTGTGTGTGTGTGTGTGTGAGAGTCTGTGTGTGTGTGTGTGTGTAAGTGAGTGAGAGTGTGAGTACGTGCATGCGAGTGTGTGTGCGTGTGTAGCCTCTGTCAAGGCACTGCTGGATGGACCCAATGATGGAGGGATTCTTTAAAAACAAGCGTCCATCAATAGTAATGCGCGTGTTCAGTCATCAATCTGCGAGCTGTGTTCAGCCCACTGTCAGTGGTTGTGAACAGCCCAAACTATTGCACACAAAAACACAAAGCTTGTACAAAATGATATGCAAATTTGTTCTGCAGACCCGCAGCTTCCTGCACTGCAGTTTGAAAGACTCTACAACGCTTAAAGAGCTCAGCTACCGTTGCAGGAACAAGTGTGTGATCCCTTAGGATTTACCTGGATTTCTGCATACATTGATCAACAAATTTAATTTCATGTCTTAGCCTAATGAACACGTAATGAATTCTAAAATACATCAGGAAATTTATGAGGCAAGTGTAAAGTCAACTGAATTAGAGTGACTTGACAGGACAAAAACCAACAGAAGAAAATACACCTTCTGGAGTCACGGTCCTGACCTCAACCCGGTTTTGGCATGAACTCAAGAGAGCAATTCTATCCAAAGAATATTGCAGAAGAAATGGTGCAAAAGTCCTCCTGAATGTTGTAAATGTCTGAGCTGCAATTACAGGAAACGTTTGGTGGAGGTTACTGCTGTCAAAAGGACGGTCAATAATTGATTAAATCTAAGGTTCACATAGCTACACTACTGTTCAAAAGTTGTTGTTGTTTTTTTTAATGCATTTTTTAATGCACACTCAATGATGCATTAACTCAAAAAGAGATTGTTCTTTCTATTCACCAAAGGGGGAAAAAAAAGGAAGAAAAAAAAGTTGTGGTTTCCACAAAATATGAAGCAGCACAACGGTTTTTATCATTGCTAATAATCAGAAATGTTTCTTGAGCAGCAAATCAGCATATTAGACTGATTTCTGAAGGATC